TCAGAGATATATCGTATCCACCATACATCATAGATCTGGAGTGGGAAGGGACTTCGGAAGCTATCTAGTGCAGCCTCTCCTTTATTTTACAGATGAGGAAACTGAAGCCCATGGGGATTAAATGACTTGCTTAGGGTCACTCGGGTCACGAGATTTGAACCTCGGTCCTCTGACTTCAGAGCAAAGACTCTTTCCCCTGTGCAACAGAGGTTGTAGCAATGATTGGTGGTTCAGTCATGGAGTGGACAAGGCAGCCTCCAACTTCATGCAGGATCCTTAAGATCCTATGGACATTAGCCTCCAGTGTAGCTGCCTGAATCCGAGGCCAATTTGTTTACATTTTTTGATGAAGAATTGTATATGACCTTAAAAGTATGAAGTGTGAAGCCTCTGACTTATGTGAGTGGATTGGGCGTCCCTATTTAGAGCAGGAAGGGAACTTAGAGTCAACAACAAGCATTGAGTAAGCACTTACTGTATGCACTCACCCAATATGATTCCCTAGTTTTCAGTTCAAGTAAGCGAGGCCAGAAAAGTTCAGTGAGTTGTCTAAAGTCGCAGAGGAATGCCAGTGTTTGAACCCAGGTTCCCAAACCTGGAGCCGCTTCCATCCCCATAAGGTATGCTTCAGGAACATTGGTATGGTGTATTTGAGGCTGTGGCTAGCTTTTCTGGATGGGTTAGTGAAAAGAGCACCAGGTTTAGAGTCTGGGGACCTGGGTTCAAAGCTTGGCTCCTCTGCATATAACCTTGGACAGGTCATTTGACTCCTTTCTCTCCCCCCTCCACATTCCCTCCCGCCTTTTAGTGAACTGGAAGAATTGGATTAGATGATTTCTAAAGTCCATCCTAGCCCTAAAATTCTCTGATTGGTGAATAGCTACTGTCCTCACTTGCATCATTTCTCTACCTTTAGTTGGATTCTGTATTTTTCGATCTCCATGTGAAAACCACTTGAAACTGGCAGTTCCTAGGAGCAGCAATTAATGTTGTCTATGCCCCCTAACAGCCTGCTGTCCCATCTTCATTACTGTTAAATATGGATTGTGCTTCAGCTTGAAGGCTTCATTTAGTGCTGTAAGAAAAATATCAAAGGTTTTCTCCCCTCTCCCTCCAGAAAATGCTTAATCTCTGTAATTTACCCACAGATCACAAAATTCTGAGTGGCTAAGCAGGAATCACTTACAGTAGTGTGAAGGAAGGTTTTGGGAGATGTGAAAACCTGTTGGAAGCATTTGCTATAGCCCAGGCCAAACGGTGTGAGAGCCAGGCTCAAACACTTCCTATTGAAAGACCCTGGGCTGGTCACGTTACTGCTCTGAGATTCCGTTTCCTCATCTAAAAAGCAAAGGGATTGGACTGGATAACTGCTCAAGACCTTTCCAAACCTATGATCTTGAGCAGCAACAGATACTAAAATAAGCCACCTTCATAAAGAGTCCATGGAGCCATCAGAAGGCCATGCTTACCCACAGAAAGCATGCTTTGTTTACCCATGGTGCTGAGACCAAACCAAATGAATTTTCTCAGATGGGTGTGTTCAGGAGAAGTGTGTTTGGCCATGACCATGTGATGGAGCTTTCTTGAAGAAGCCCTCATCCATCTTGATTGGGTTTCATCCATCCATTCATGCCCATTCAAAGGGCTCATTTTCTCCTGCCCCGAAGCTCTTGGTCATCTTTGAGGTTAATGCCTCTCTACCTAAAGCAATTCTCCCCTGCCCATCTGATTCTAATACCTAGCATGTCCAACCTGGCCAAGCTAATTTTCCTAGAGCTCTGGTAACTTGGGATCTTGCTAACACTTATAATCATTCAGTATTTGCACTTCTGTGATTTGGACAGCATACAGAATGCACCCAAAGATTCTTATCTTCTTTGGAGGGAGAGCGTGTGAATGTTTCACAATATTAATGGCTGAAGCCAGGATTATTTCCATTGATTGCATTCCAAGAAGCCACTTCATTTTCACTGGCTTATAGCCTTTTCTTCCCTACCTCCCCAGGGGTATATTAGAAATCGTTTTGTAAAGGGCCAGAATGCCTGTGATAGCCTAATTCCCACCATGGGGAGTCTCCCTGACTTGTTGAAGACTACCTATAATTCCTGTTAATTTTCCTGTGCAGAAAAATATAGAAAAGTCCATGAGCTTTCTGTATCGGTGTGTCAGAATTCTAGATAAGGATGTAATGATGTGTCATGTGGTTGGGGGGCTTCCTCCCTGATAATTAGTTCTTTTAATTTTCATGTTTTAACCCATTTGGGGCATGCTAACTGATGAAGTCTAATTCTGATTGTGGTAGAAAACTAGCAATAATAAAGAATCGAGGCACCCCACACCTAATCACAGTTGTTCAGATTCATTGCCTGTTCCCTCCTAAAATAGATTTTAGTTTTGGAAATGAAGGCAAATGAGGAAATTCTCTTGTTCCTTCAAGGGTACTTTCCAGTGTTGGGAATTTTTAAAAAGATTGTTCACTGTTTCAAGAAAGACCGCTTGACCCTCGTGGGCCTAAAGCCCCCAGATTTCTGTTTCAGGGGAGCAGCTGTGTAGCTCTGGGTAACTTCTTGGTCCCTAGTAAATGTGGCCGTATTCGATACAGCCCAGAGCTAAGCTTTGTCTTCAGTTTTTACCCAGGAGCCTCTTGTGTCTAGGGTAATTGCATCCACTTGTGGGGTCAGTAGAGAAGAGTGAGGAGTCCCTTAGGGTTAAGACTTCTTACTTCGGTGATTCCCCCCCCAGACCACTTCTGTTGTCTAAGAGCTTCTGATTTTCGAGTGAGTGTTCTTTGCTAGGCTTTGGAGACTTGGAGCATTGAAGGGTGGGTCTTACACATAAAAACTGTCTATCCTGAACCCATGAAAGAAGGGTACCCAGCTTGGATGGAAGCTCAAGACTGTGTTCCAGCTATTCAGATACTTAACCAGGAAGGGCTTAAGAGGTCCTTGCAAAGTTTGAAATCTGTCCTGTGAAAGAAACATAGGTCCTGTGGCCAATCCTAGGTTTCTACCAGACTGTTCCACCTACTGAATCCCCAATAGAAGGGTTGGAGCTGGTAGAGAAGCGTGATGTGTAATAGAGAAGAAAAAGAAACTAGCTATGGAAGGGAGGGGAAAGTGAGTCATTTCCCAGCCTCCAAAGGTTCCCCAGTATTCAGTGTTATGCATGTGGAAGGAGGTGGTGATGGGTGATGAAGGCAATAAGGCAAGTGGGGTAGCTTTCTCAGCTCCCTTTTATGTGCTATCTTTCTTCATTAGAATGTAAGCTTCTTGAGGTGAGGGACTGTCTTTCTTTTGGCTTGTATTTGTATCCCCAGCACTTAGCATGCTGATACCTGGTGCATGGTACATGGTAGGTTTGTTGACTGACTAACCTTGGGCATGTCAGGTTCCTTTTCTGGGGGATTAGACAAGTATACCAGTGACACCTCAGCAAACCACTGAGAATGTAGTGGCTTCCTCCTCAGAGTATGTGTTGGCCTAATCACGGTGTGATTTTTAGTAAAAAGAAGGTGGGAAGAGGAAGACCCATGCTACACATTCTGATGTGTCGATGACACCAAGACCAGATGTCACTTGCCTTGCCAGAGCTCGCAGGGCTGGCTCTGGTCTGTTCTGCCTCATCTTTTCTCATAGTTGGCATTCATAGGAAAATGGGCATGGGCACCAGTTGGTCTGTTGTTCATAGAATCAAAACTAGAAGGAAATTAGTGGTAGGAGGCAGTGTGGCCCAGTGGAAAGAGCGCTTTGCTGATGAGGAAACTGAGGCCCAGAGAAGGGAAGTGACTTGTCCAGGGGCAGCAGAGCCAGGGACCAGAAGCAAGTCTCCCAGCCAAGGGCCCCTTCATACACCAGCCAACTCCTCAGTTTGCCTTTGGACGCCTCCCCTTTGCCCACACTTCCCTTCATGCATGAAGCCAGTCCACTGAAGGTGGGCTTTGAGTGAATGTTGTGCCAACCTAAATGATTTGGGCTGTGGGCATGGTGGGGCAGCCAGCTCATTCTTCTGACCCAGAGAATTGGGTGGTTCCAGTCCAAGCACAGCCCACGGGTCCTGATTGGGGAAATGGGCTCTTCCAAACATAGTTTTTGAATGACCAAAATGCTCCACAAAAGGCTTTCCAGTGGGCCAGTGGGGTTGGGGCTGGGGCAAGCCCATGGCCCCAGAAAGGAAAGCCGGCTGCCGTCTGGGCCTTGAGTCCCAGGAGTCAGAGAAGGAGGGCAAAGATCAGAAAAGGAAGGAGGGGAAAGCTGCAGCCGTGACTGGCTGGTGCCCGCCAGCACGGAGTGCTTGAAGGGCTGCTGTGCTTTTAGCTAATGCATTGATTGCTATTTCTTTGCTGTGTGTTTGTCCTGAACCCTTCTGGATTTGATACATTAAGGGACAAGAGGCCGGTGGCCTGGGATCCGAGGTCGCCTGCACACCTTGCTGTTTTGGTCAGTGAGGGTATCCTAGGGCCTGATGCTCCAGGGCACTTACAGAATGAAGGCCGGGGGAGAGCCCTGGTGTTTGTCCTGCACCCCTGCACCTCTATCCCCAACTCTGTAGGGAGGGCTGTTCCTCATTACCGGGGAATTTGAGTCATTCCCCCACTTGTGTGATTGGGATTCTGAAACATTTCTGTGCGCGAGGGGCTGATTGAATCCAAGTGTCAGGGCTGCCTCTCCGGCTTGGAGGGAGCGCTGAGCTACAGCGGGGAGACCTGGTTTTAGTTACTGCACAAAGGCACTGGCAGAGCCATGACCCCCTCCAAGCACCCAGAATTCCAGAGGAGGGTCTGCTGCCAGTGTTTCCCGGTTCATTTTGAGCCCCCCCCCCCGTCTGTCTTTGGTCAGTGCCGGCTTCTCCATCACCCCTAGGGGGGCTTCCCTCACGTCCCTGGTGCTGCCCAGAGGCCGCAGCGAGATGCCTCCCCCGTTCAACAGAGTCGGCTGAGCAGTGGCACGAGGGGAGGACGAGGCTGGTCTGAGGCATCACCTCCTGTTTCTTCTTCCTTCTAGAATGTTTCACGGCAAACGGAGTCGACTACAGGGGCAGGCAGAACTGGACGGCACCGCACGGAGGGAAGGCCTGCCTCTTCTGGAATGAGACCTTCCAGCACCCCTACAACACTCTGAAGTACCCTCATGGAGAGGGGGGCCTGGGGGACCACAACTACTGCAGGTGAGGGGCCGGGGCCAGGGAATGGAGAGGAGCATGTGCAAAGGAGGGCCAGGCCAGGGAATCAGAAGGGCATCCTGTCAGCTCTGCCCTGTCTTCTGAGCTACGAAGCAGCCCCTTGGTGCTGTAAGAAAAGCATGGGAGGGGGAGCTGTGCAGCCTGGGTTCAGATGCTGGCTCTGTCTCCTTCTCCCCGAGTGGCTGTGGGTGAGGCCTTCCTTCTGGACCTCTGTTCCAGCTCTGTGACTCGAGGGGCTTGAGGAGCCCTGAGGTCCCTGCTGTCTGTCTGTGACCCTCAGGGATTTGTGATCACGAGGACCCCCTTTGTCCATCCTCCTTGCCGTCCAGCTTGGGCTCCTGATAGACCGGCTTTGGCTGTGACAGTGTGACATCTGTGGCTCCCCCAAGCCAGATGTGTGCAGGTGGTGGGTGGAATGCTGGACCCTGAGGTTCAAATCTTGCTTCTGACTTCATGACCATGGCAAGTCACCGACCCTTCTGGGTTTTAGCTCCCTTGTCCATGTGGAAAATGGGAGTGGTGAATCCTCTAGTAGCTGAGCCCTCTCCCAAATGAGAGGGCAGGGATGGGGTCCAGCATGAGCCAGGCCGCCCATGCCGTGATTCCTGGGCCCCAAGCTGCTCAGGACAGCCTGCAGACAGCTGTCGGTCTTAATCAGACTAGCTGTGTTTGCCCGTTGGCTGGGCCGCTTCTCGGCCTGCAGGGGCTGAAGAGGCCGAGGGCTTTGGGCCACAGCTGTGCACGCTCACCCTGCACTTAAGGTACTTAGGCACAAGACCCTGGTAACTTGATTCATGGCTCAGGAATTTATAGCATTTAATTATTAGAACAGGTGCAAAAGTAACACTTCCCGGGCTGTTGGAAGTGCAAAGCAGTGGCTGCTGGGGGTACCCCCTGAATTCCCCCCCACCCGTTTACCCGGTGTGGCCCCTCAGCCCTAGACTGAACCCCATTTCCCTGCTGGGTTCCTGTTGTGGCCCTGGGCACACAGGGCAGGTGTGGTCTGTCCATTCTCCCCCCTACCTGGTCCTCACTGTCCTCTCTCCGGCAGACCCCCAGGGTTGCCTGAATGTCAATGATCCAGAGCTGCGGTAGGCCTTAGAGGCCTAGGCCAACACCCTGGCTTCAAATAGTGGGGAACTATCAGGCAGGATCTGAACCCAGGTCCTCAACCCCGGTTTCTTCTGTTTTGCTTTGTGGAGAATGGCTTAATAACCAGATGGGTCTTCCCCAGTTTTCTTGTTTCATCTGTCTGGGAAGTAAATCTGAATATCCATGGAGAATATTCTTTTTACCTGATGCTTCGGAGCCAGCAGTGAGTGGCATGGAGGGAGGCTGAGACCCATTGATTAGTAACGGTTATGCAGAATGCAGTGAGACCACCTGTGCAAGGGACCAGCCAGCCCCAGCACCTCTCATGAGCCAGGCCCAAGCGAGGCTGAGCGGTGAGGCTAGGGAGCCCTCCCGGCCCCCCTCCCACCCCCCTCACTGCTGCCCTGCCCCTCACCCCAGCCCCAGGTTCAGGGAAGACTGACCGCACCAGACCTGAATTACAAGTTCCTACTTCAAACAAGGGGGAGCCACCCACATTTGCCTGGTGGATCCTTGGTAGGGCCTGAGCCACCTCCCTCAGTGGGGGGAGTCAGGTGCCCTTGGTTCTTGGAGGTGAAGCCGCTCTGATGGCGTGCCTGGTGCCCGGGACATGAGGACGAGGGCTTGTCTCCGAGGGCTTCGCTAAAGGACGCAGCTGAGCAAAGCCCTTGGCTGAAGGGGGTGGAACTGGATCGTGGCTCCATCTGGCATTTCAGGGAGGCTCCGTACCTCCCGGCTGCTTGGATTTCTCTGCCAGAGACACCCAACCCCCTGTTTATCTTAGGCACTGGCTTAGACCTGTTCAGTTGGAGGTGTCTGAGAGATGGAGAATGCTACTTGAAGTCTCGGTATCAGAGGGAGGAGCAGGGCTGGCCAGGGCCCCTGCCTTTCGGCCCAGGAATCAAGGGCCCCATTGTACTCTGGGAATGCTTATCTTGCAGCCTGAATCAGGCACACAATAGGCTTATCCTCTGGGCCTGATAGGGGCTGCTCTGAGGCTCCAGGCCCCAGGGCCGTGGTACCAGTTTCCGGCCCCACAAGAGGGTCAGGTTTCCAGAGTCCTGGGTCTGGATGAAGGAGAACATGGAGAGGAACCAGGGAAGGGAGAGCTTCTGGTGCCCCCCACACTCCCTGCCAGTCTTCAGCACACTGTCACATTCCTATCTGTAGTTTCTGGTGACTTTGAAGAAAACATAAAAATGAAACAAAACTTTTACTGGAAAGAAGTCAGCTGAGATCATGCAGTCAGCCTGAGAATTTGGCCTTGTGGCTGCTCTCAGGTGGAGGTCTGGCCTGAATGCCCCTGCTGTGTAGCCCATGAAACCCCAGTGGACCTACCCCCAGCATGGGTCATCAAGGCCGCTGTCCTGTGGCAGCCCCCCTTTTCCTAATTGACTCAGCATCACTGAGTGATAAAGCTTTAGAGCTGGAAGGAAGGTCAGAGGCCGTCTCATCCAACCTTTCCCCTTCCCAGGTGGCCCCGTCCACTTAAAGACCTCCAGCATTGGGAAATTCATTCTCTCTCTCAAGGCATCCTGTCCCATTTTGGGACATCTCTGGCTATTTGGGGCTCATAAGATCTTCGCTACAGAGCTGGGTGGGGCCCTGGAGGCTGCTGAGTCCAAGCCCGCCGTGTTACAGGGAGGATGCTGAGGCCCCGGGTGTCTTGGTCACTCGCCTGTCAGTCCCAGAAAGCAAGGCAGAGTGCATTTAATCTTTCTTCCATGTCTTCTAACAGAGTGACCATAGCTTCCCTCCACACCCAGTCCCTTCCTCTCCAGGCTGAGGGTTTCTAGTTCTTCAGCTGTTGCTAGAATGATGGCATTGCCTCCACTCTTCTCCCCCATTGCCCTTCTGAACACACTCCCAGTTGTCAGCAACCTTCCTAAAATGTGGTTCCCAGAACTGAACACAATACCCTAGCTGTGGTCTTCTCGGGGCAGAGGGCAGCCCTCGTTCTGGGATGGCTACCTCTAAGCACAGGCTGTGGTACCAGCTGGACCACAACAGACACCTCCCAAGAACTAGCTCGTGACTCTGGAATTGTGCGGAGATGTTTCCTCCCTTTCCTGGCTTCCTCCAAAACAGTCCACCATGGGCATATATGTCATGGCTCCTGCGCTGGTAGGGGCTCACAGCAAGGGGAGGTGTCTGGAATATTAGGAGGCTGAAGGAGCGAAGCCAGAAATATCACTGACAATGCCTGAAATGGGATTCTGTGTCTTCTTTTCTTGACAGGAACCCCGATGGAGATGTAAGTCCCTGGTGCTATGTGGCCGAGCATGAGGATGGCATCTACTGGAAATACTGTGAGATCCCAGCTTGTCAGAGTAAGCTGATGGGGGGGGGGTAGGGGACGGGGGTGCCGTGTGCTGGACATCATGAGCTCAGGGCCAGACTCCCGGCACTGGTAATGGTGATGGTCTCTTCAAAACCCCCAAGATTTCCACAGTTCCCACCAGGGCCTGTTCCAGTGTTGACCATCTTGGTAACACACTCACTCTGTATCTCAGCTGTTGAGTTTCTTTTCTTTGCCCTTTTTGGGAACAGAAAACAGCTGTTGGATCAATAACTGGGGGCCTGTGCTTTCAGAGTGTGGGCATTCCCTCCACTAGCTCAGATCGCAGCTTACACTCTCCCCCTCAGCATCCCAGCAGATGGTCTGCAAAGATGCTCTGGGCCCAAACTCACCTGCTGCAGGCCAGCCTGGGGCAGCTGGGAGAGAGGGTTGGAGTGCTACACTTGGGGTCAGGAGGCATGAGCCCAAGCCCCTCCCCACACAGGCAACGGGGCCATCCTGGGCACATGGCCTCATCTCCATGAATTTAGTTTTCTCATCCACAAAATGGGCTGATAGTGCTTGTACTCCTTACTTCACACGGCGGTTAAAGGTGGACCCTGAAACGTACCTCATTTAGCCGTATCTGAGGGAGGTGTCAGCCCTGCTTCCTCTCCCTGCACCCAGGAGCCTAATAAATTACAGTGATGACCAAGTCAGAGGGGAGGCAGTGGAAAGGTCTCTGGCCTGGAAGCCGAAGGAATGGGTCCCAGTACCCCCTCCTGGCCTGCCCAGGGAATGAGAGGATTGGCCTACATGGCTATAGCCAGGCACACTGCTGAAGATTCAGTGCTCTTATATGGCTCTGGGTAGCCAGACTGTCTCCGATGCCTCCCAGAAGTCAGAGTTGCTTGCATTTGCCGGTGGTTGGAAAATTGTCCAGAGAGTGAGAAGCCAGCCCCAAACTTGCTGAAACTCCAGGCCTATTTTCTAATTTTTTCATCCCACCTTTGGAAAAACTTGGGTTCCTTTCCTATTACTTAGCCTAAAACATCAGTTTGGAATTATTTACTGCCTTGAATTTCCTTGGGCAAATGAGCTTTCCTCTCTGTGCCTGTTTTCACATCTGTAAAAATAAAAAAATTTTAAAAGGAGTGTCTTGGGGTTTACGACCTCTGAGGTCCCTCCCAGCTCAAGGAGCCTGGGCTCTGTGACTTCTTGTCTCCTGGTCATTGTGCATCTCTGACTCTGGCGGGGAAGATGAGCGCCTCTCTCCACTCCCTCTGGGAGCTCCTAAAGAACCGCGCGCTTTGTCCCAAGTGATGGGGAACTCTACACTCTTAGTGCTAGAAGGAGTCAGTGGAATCCTCTGGGCCGGCCTGCGGTGCCCTGACTCATGACCTCAGCCCAAGCATCTCGTGGTGACCTGCTCTTCCATGACGCTCACTTGGACTGTGCGCTTGCTTCTCCTGGTCAACGGCCTGCTGAATGCAGAGGCCAGGTCCCATGTACAAGGCATTGGGGGTGGGGGGAGGGACAAGGTCTCTGACCAGGTTGCCAGAATTGCCCTTTCAGCTCTGGCTGCTCTGTGAATTTCTCCTCGTCTGATTGCTCTTTTGTGCCCACCAGTGACCAAGACCACCCCCTTCCCCCACTGCTGGCGCCTGGCCGAGTTCCTCTTCCCACCTGTGCATCATCATTCATTGACAAAGCCGAGAACACGGTCAGGGAGGAGCCCTTTTCCTCCGGCGCTCAGTCAAGTTTAAAAATGGAAAACATATCTCTTGGCTCTCGTTTCTGGAGGAATGAGAAGAGAACAGAGTGTCCTCGGTCCATTTGTTCTGCACAAAGATAGCCTTTTAGTGCCCGCTGGAGTCTGGGCTGGGAAGAGGGGATCGGCATCTGGAGTCTCATCTGCCCCTCCCAGGCGGGCATGGCCGTGTGAAGCCTGGGCTCTGGGGGAAGAAGCTGCAACAGTATGGGCCAGGCTGCCCAGATGGTGCCCTTCCGGTTCTGAATGCCAACCTGGTGGGGCCCCATCATCCTGAGGAGAAAAGCTCCCAGTGGCATTTGGGCACCTTCCCATTTTCAGGAGCCCTCACAGTGGCCCTCACAAAGCCCCACCATGTAACCCTGCAGGGGTTTGTGGGTGGAATGTGCCCTCATTTGTACAGAAGAATGTGAGTGTTTCCTTGGAGGTTTGGGGGTGCTTAGCTGTTGAAAAGACCTGTTCCTTCAGGCTGAGCCCCACAGGGAAAGCCAGCAGCCTCCCCATTCTGCTCTGGGAAGGACATCTTAGTGCTGATGTGCACAGTGGAGACCCTCTCTTGTGCCTCTGCTCTGGCCAGAGACCTTGTTAATTGCCCAGAGCACCCGACAGAGCCCAAGCCTGACTATTTTAGGCCAAGTTTGCCCTATTTATGGACAAGGAGTCATAATTTTCCTGAATAATACTCCTCCTCTGTCTGAAGCCCGTCTTTCATTAAACTGATCATATGGGGAAATGCCTTGGCTATGATCAGATCCCTGGAAAGTTCCTGTCTGCCCAGAGCGGACCCAGCAGGAATTGGGGCAGTAATGTTTACGGACAAAGGCAAGTGGATGAATGGGGGGTTCCCTTCTCTACAGCTTATGAGGGAGGGTGCTGACAAACAGATGGGGAGGCCAAACTGTATGTGCTTGTGACCTGCTGAGAATAATCTGCCCTTCCTGCCAAAAGAAAAACTCAGAGGAGGTTGGGCCAGCCTCCCCAAATCCACTCGCCAGCACGTTTCTCTGCGGCAGCAGGCGTTAAAGCATTTTTCTTTCTCGTTGCCAGAGGGACAGTGATATATTTCGACATCCAAGAGTCACTACAGCAGACCACCACCTTCACCTCCTCCAGCAGGGTCTTTGAGTCAAGGGGATTTGATGGTGGAGGGGGTCAGTCACATGACTTCATATCCACTGACATGAAACGCGGCTTCTCTGCCCATCCCCTCTACCCCCTACACCCTCATCACTGACCGTCGAGAGACAGCAGACCAGGAATGGGTGCACCTGCTGCTCGCCATTTCCCTTGGTGAGCAAGGTCCCCAGAAGGCCTTCCCATAGCTGGACAAACACCCTTGAAGTAGTCTTTACTAGAGTTTTCTTCCCAGAGGGTGCCATCTCATCAATCGACCATCAGCTAGCTTTAATTGATTGCCTGCTTCTCCCCAGCAGCGTGCTAAGTGTCTCGGGCTACCCAGACAGCACCCATCTCATCTACACCAGTCCTTCTCATCGTCATAGGATCTGAAATAAGAATATGCCAGGTCCAGCTCTGTAATAATCGACGCGGTTTATGCTTATGCAGCTCTTTATAAAGTGCTTTCCATAATTGCTCTGTCCCTCCATGTCCCACCTGGGTGCTTTTGCCTAGGCTGTGCCCCGTGCCTGGCTGCCTGCCCTCTTCGCCTCAGGCTCTGAGCATCAGTCCCGGACTCCCTTCAAGGTTTAGCTCAAAGGCCATTGGGCCCACCCTGATCCTCCTCTCAGTGCTCTCCCCTCACACTTTTATGGAGTTGAGAGTAAGGCTCACCTCACTTTGTGTGGGCCACCAGCACCCACATAAAGTCCTTTAATAAATGCTTGTTGACCAAGCAGTTCTAAATTTGCGGCTTGGCCCAAACTACAGTCAGTCTGCTTTTTAAGGGCCACTTGCACCGTGGTTTTTTAAAGTTCAGTTATATTTCACGTTCGGACCCAGAGTGTCTCCCTCTTCTTGCTCCTGTCCCACTCGTTGAGAAGACAAGTACAAAGCCTGTTACAGACGTGGAATCATGCAAAACCAATGTCCACATTAGCCATGTTCTGGGGAAAATACAAGAAAGATAAAGGAAAAATATGTATTCCAGTCTGCCCTCTGAGCCCATCAGTTCTCTGCCTGGGTATGGACAGCATTTTCCATCACAAATCCTTTGGAGGTGTGGGGGGTCATTGGGTTGATCAGAGTAGCTATGTCATCATTGTACAGGATTGCTGTTACCGTGAAAATTGTTCTCCTGGTTCTGCTCACTTCACTCTGCTGCATCAGTTCATGTAAATCTTCCCTGGTTTCTCTGAAACTATCCTGCTCTTCGTTTCTTATAGTACAACAGTGTCCACAAGCATATACCAATGTTCAGCCATTCTCCAACTGATGGGCATCCCCTCCGTTTCCAATTCTTTGCCACCAAAAAGAGCTGCTACACATATTTTGCATGTATGGATCTTTTTCCTTTTTCATTGATCTCTTTGGGGGGGGGGTGTAGACCCAGTAGCGGTATTGCTGAGAAGAGTGTGACCAATTTGGGGGCATAATTCCAAATTTGTTAAGTGTTTGTAGCAGATCCACAGCCTGAGTTATTACAGTCCAGAAGCCCCCTAGGGTCCTGATGAGAGCCCTGTGTTTTGGGCAGCGTCTGATCACTTTCCGTCTGGATTTCATCAAATCTGACAAGCACTTATGGATCACCTTTGATTGTCAGTCCCTATGCTAAGTCCTAGAGACCCAAAGATAAAGACCAGGCCGTTCCTGCCTATTGGGTATCATTCTGCAAACTGCTATGACTGTTAACGGGCTAAGTACATAGCTTCTGAAGAGGTTTCCTAACTGGGAGTTGTAGACCCTGAGGTTTGGAAGGGGCTTTAGAGGGCACCTAGGCCAGAGCCCTCATTTTCAGAGGAGGAAACAGAAGCCCAGAGAGTGATGGGAATGTGTGGCAGTCTGTACGACAAATTAGTGATAGCCTTAGGAAGAAAGCATAAGCAGATAGTGTAGGCTTCCTATTCTTAATGATCAACATTTATTTGGGGGTTTTCTTTGAATTTCCTAGAAGGTGCTAAGAGCAGGGATGGGCGTCCTCTCGAAGATCATCTTCATAGAGTCCGTTGGCATCCTCTGCCTCAGCTTGTCAGCTGATCTAGATTGACTTCCTCCTTGTGACTAGATTGTTGAGCTGTCGTCTGGTCTGGCCACCAGGACCAGAGCTCTTTAAGGAGGAGCCCACTGAGAACTTCCCCCTGCCACAACTGATTCTGGGGCAGTCT